TGGCCATGAAAGGGTTAAACATTAAGACTTAATTCACACTGCTGCAACCTGAAAGTCACACGATTTTGCCAGGTGACTTCCTGGTGACTTGCGTACGAATGATATGACTTGATGCCCTGTCATTTTGCCTGGGTAACCTTGTAATGTCGGATCCAAATCAAAATGCACACTCACCGGCCACTTTATTAGGTACACCTTGCTAGTGCCAAGAAAATATTTCCAATACCATTACACCACCACCAGCAGCCTGAATCGTTGATTCAGGATGGATGGATCCATGCTTTCATGTTGTTTACACCAAATTCTGACCCTACCATCTGAATGTCGCAGCAACCAGTCTGCCCTTTATCCTCTGACCTCAACAAAGCATTTTCATCCACGCAAATGCTGCTCACTGGATATTTTCTCTTTTTTGGACCATTCTTTTTAAACCCTAGAGATGGTTGTGCAACCACCAGCCTGAACCGTTGATACAAGACAGGATGGATCCATGCTTTCATGTTCTTTATGCCAAATTTTGACCTTACTGAATGTCGCAGCAACCATTCTGCCCATTGTCCTCTGACATCTGACATCAACAAGGCATTTTCATCCACAAAAATGCTGCTCACTGGATATTTTCTCTTTTTCGGACCATTCTCTATAAATCCTAGAGATGGTTCTGTGTGAAAATCCCAGTAAATTGGCAGTTTTTGAAATACTCAGACCAGCTTGCCTGTCACCAACAACCATGCCATGTTCAAACTAATTTAAATCCCCTTTCTACCCTATTCTGATGCTCAGTTTGAACTTCAGTAAGTTGTCTTCACGTCTAGATGCATAAATGCATTGAGTTGCTGTCATGCGATTGGCTGATTAGCAATTTGTGTTACCAAGCAATTGAACAGGTGTACCTAATAACATGGCCGGTGAATGGAGATGAGGATCAGACTTGGAGGCAACTTCCATTAAAGTCTATGGGCACACGTCTGATAGAAGTCGCCTTGAATTAGTACAGGAACCTCTTCTGAAAACGGAGTGACTTCAGTAGTGCTAATTAAATCAATTCTAAAGGTTAATTTTTTTTGGGGGGGGAAATAAGAAACAAGTCTATACTTACCTGCTGTGTGCAGTGGTTTTGCACAGAGAATCCTGGATCCTCCTCTTTTCGGGTCCCTCGCAGGTTCTCCTGGCCCCTCGCTCCTGTCGGGGTGCCACCACAGCAAGCAGCTTGCTATGGGGGTACTTGCTACTGCGTGTGTCCATTCACACAGGGAGCTGCGGCCCCCTCTTTCTCCTCATTGGCTGACTGTCTGTGATTGACAGCAGCAGGAGCCAATGGTTCCCACTTGCTGTCTCAGCTAGGGGTGTATTTACCACAAGGTAAACAAGGCATTTGCCTAGGGTGGCATTTTTTAGGGGGGCAGCACTGCTCCCTGGAAGAAGGGACATATGCAGCATGGGGACCAGGTGGATCTGAGAGTGGCTGCAGGCTGCTTGATGGTGTATGCAGAGCCTGACTGTCGTTCCCGGGGATGTTCAGAGCTGTAGAGGTGAATGTCTTTCTCTGTCGCCGGGGGCTGTTTCGTGAAAAGCTCTCTTGGGTGGGAGCGGTGATGGGGCAGGGGTGTTGTTGGTCACTGTCAGGCTCTCTCTGTGTGGGGGGAGAGGGGGTTTGGTGTTGGTCGGTGTCAGGCTCTCTACGCCGGGGAGGAGGGGCGTCCAATTCATGTGTTACCTAGGGCAGCACAAAATCTAGATACACCACTGGTCTCAGCCAATGAGGAGGCAGAGACCTGGGACAGCTGAGGCTATCGTTCACATCGCTGGATTGTGATGAGGCTTAGGTATTAAGGGGGCTGGGGGCATGCCGTACACAGATTTTTTACCTTCATATCTCCTAGATTGTAAGCTCGAAAGAGCAGGGCCCTCGAACCCCTCGTGTATCACATAGTATTGTTATCGTTCTGTCGCATGTTCTGTCTCCCACTGTAATGTACAGCGCTGAGCGAACTGTTGGCGCTTTATAAATACTGTATAATACTAATAATACAGAGAATGCATGAAGGTAAAAAACTGTGAGCCTTTACAACCACTGATGTGACTTGATGGGTGACTTTCATGCCATGCGACTTTGCTTGGGTAATCTTCCTATAATGTCGGATCCAAATCACATCGATAGAAATAAGGATCCGACTTCCATTAAATCACATTGATATAGATGACAATCTGACTTCCATTAAATCACATTGATATAGATGAGAATCTGACTTCCATTAAAGTCTAGGGGCACAAGCCAGATAGAAGTCGCCTTGAAGTAGTACAGCAGTGGTTCTCAACCTTCCTAATGCCGTGACCCCTTAATACAGTTCCTCATGTTGTGGTGACCCCCAACCATAAAATTAAACTCTTTACACATTGGAAATGTGTTGTTCGATGGTCTTAGGTGACCCCTGTGAAAGGGTCGTTTGACCCCCAAAGGGGTCGCGACCCACAGGTTGAGAACCACTGTAGTACAGGAACCTTTTCTAAAGTCGGAGCGACTTCAGTAGTGCTAATTAAGGCAGTTCTCATTGACTAACATGGGATTTCACATGTCATGTGACTTAGGGTGGTCTCACAAGTCGGATCCCAAGTCGCGGCAGTGTGAACCCAGGCTAAAACATGAATGATATAAAGTAATGTGGATGATCAGTAGTCAGTACTCCTTATGGACATGTACGTTTCTTCAGACACTCCACCAATCATCCCGAATTTTTGTAAATCCGTCAACTTATAAGTAAATGGTAACCTTGATACTACAGTTTTGTAATGACAGTTTCACGTAAATCTAACTCCCAATAACGTGGAGTATTTCGTTCCATGTCAGACACTAGAGGGTGGAAATGTTTCCCTCAACAATGATGGCTACCGCCGGTTCATTGTCGCACCTATAATGGCGTGTTTCCCTTAGAGCGCCCGCCTCCTTTGTATAAATATCAGGGCGGAGTCGGGCCTCGTTCTCTTTGAGTACAGCCAGCGGGGTGTACGCACGTTGTGGACTGACTGCTCCTGGCTCACCGCTGTTCGCTCGGCAAGTCTCACGAATAAGTCGGCCAGGAAGGTGATCAGTCATGGTGAGTGTGCTGCGTCCACCTGATCCTCCATCGCTTCTCACACCGCTTACTGAGCATTGCGCATGCTTGTGACCCTAATAAATGACTGGGAGGCCCATAGTAATGCAGAGCGCTCCCTGGGGGGCTGGTGGTTGGAGCGGACTAATGCTGCATTGTATACGGGGTGCTGGTGTGTTCAGCTGGACTATCTCTAGTGGTTTAGTCTGATGTGCTGGGGTCGGTTTTCAGGCGAGGTTCCCTCAGTGAAGTCGTGACACGTGTGCCTTGTGGTGGGACTGTGTAGACCCCCTTAGGCACCATATACATGAGCCTACCCTGACTGCTGGCCTCAGGAAAATGCAAAACGTGGCAACTTCTGTACTGCAATTTTGTTGTGTTTTCCTGTGGTTGGTGGTCAAAATGTTCCTTTCTTGAATACGCTGCTTCCATGTTCAGGAGAGGGAGGTTAACCCCTTGATGCTGGTGCCTCCTGGCACTTTAAGGGTGTCAGAAGCCGGGAGGTGGGGTTTTAGGGTCATGGCTGCCGTGATTCATGGTCACATGATCGTGAAAGGTCCTGATCAAAATTGGAGATCGGGACCTTTCCGTGAGTACCGGACATGTGTGCTGGGCACGCGCGCTCTCAGCACATGTGCTTTTCTTGCATGCAAATGTGCGGCCGCTTGGCGTCAAGGCCCAGATGCTGGGAGGCAGCCAATTTGTCAGCCAGTGCAAAGCGGTTAAAGTGGAGGAGTTCCACCAAAAATAGGAAATTCTGCTTTAAAGACTGGTCCCCCTCTCCCAATTAAGGATTGGCAGCTTTGAGGAGCAGGTACCCCCTCCCACTTGCACTGCGATCATCTTGGCAGTCAGAAGCGGATGTTGTCCTTCCCACCCCCCTCCCTGTATCCTTCTGGGATCTGACAGGTCCCAAAAGACTACAAGACCATTCAGGAAGCGCAGTGCTTTTTGCGCATGCGCAGTGGGCACCTGGATGTGAAGGTGCAAGCTGTCACAGCTGGGTGCCCACACTTAAGATGCTGGCGCCTGGAACACAGGACGGCCAGTGAAATGGGCTGGGGGGGGACACTGCGAGATCGTAGGACAGGTAAGTGGCTGTTTTTTTAAAAGTCAGCAGCTACAGTTTTTGTAGCTGCTGCTGACTTTTTAATTTTTTTAGTGAGTGGAACTCCGCTTTAACCTCACCTAAATGCGGCAGCTCCTAAAGTCTGCTAGAAGCCTATGTGTACATGGACACAGGCTTTTATGGTGTTGAGTTTAGTAACTTTGGCAAAAAAATGCCAAAAGCTCCTAAATTCAAGTTTCGCATCCACTAGTGTACATGAAGCCTTACAGTGCTTGTAATCTTACATATACCCAGTGAAGTGACTGGCTTGCACAGAAATTAATCATCTTATGTAACTTGTGCTGGTTTGACTTCAGCCTTCTCATTTACATCATTTTAAGTCCAGAATTTATAAAGCTTGTCTGAGTTGTCAGAAAAAGGGGTAGGGCTAAAATTACAAAGTCATGTTTCAGCTTAGAATGCAGTGACATCCGTGTAGATACATGGTCCCAACTGCTCAGTTTGCATTTGGAGCCATGCACCTGCATCAAAGTGGGAACAGTGGCTGGGTGTGCAGCTGCTGCATCCCAATAGACATGGGTGCAGCGTTGCATGACTGCGCAATTGTCAAAGTAACGCATTGCTGTAATGCAAAAAATGGCCTGGTCAGGAAGGGGGGGGGGGTAAAATTGATTTCAAGTTCTAATCAGCTTATGCTTTTCCTAAAATTTGATAGCATAATTGGAGTGATAAAAGAGCAATAAATGTGTTGTGAACAGTAACTTTTTGGTGTGCTTTGTGATATAAAAATGAATTTGTTTACCTGGCATGATTTGCAGTAACGGAACTCTTTTCCACAGGCATTTAAAGACACAGGCAAAGCACCTGTTGAAGCAGAGGTGGCAATCCACCGCATCCGTATTACACTTACCAGCCGCAATGTGAAATCTCTGGAAAAGGGTATGTTCATGTAATTTTGTAAGATACTCTTTAATGTGCATTTCTGAATTTCTCAGATGAGAGCACAAGATTTAAGTCTTGAAGTGTACCTCTGGTAAATGTTTTGCTATTAGATGCTCGTCTACATTAAAGATCTTGCCCAGGGATATTGGTTTCAGGACATGTATATTGTAATCCGGTTGGCAATGAGGATGAATATTTTCAATGAAGTACAGTGATTGACTTATACGCTATTCTGAGCTGACCTTGGAAATGTCATTGCACATTCACCTGTAATCTCCTTAGTTTTGTAGCCCTTATAAAGTTTAATGTCCATAGAATGTGATATTAAATCTTACTGTGATGGCAATTAAATGGTTAATCTCTCATCTAGTCTGCGCTGATCTGATCCGTGGAGCCAAGGAGAAGAACTTGAAGGTGAAGGGACCTGTGCGCATGCCCACCAAGGTAACTGGCGATATGGTGTTTTTCCTGTTTTTTTTTTTTTTTTTTTTTTTTTTTATTTTTAAATGTATGGTATGGAACAGGATTTATGCTTGAGAACTGATTAACTGTCTGGAGTGAGAATTGTTAGAATGGTGGCTGTGGAATTGTGTGGCTGGATTTTTTCCTATAGTAAGTTATACTTTCCTGCTCTGTGGAATGGCATTACACCTTTTCTGGGGTTTTCCTGCCAGAGCTGCCCCCCATTCCTTTTCACTGGATTTGATTGACAGCAGCAGGAGCAAATCACTCCTACTGCTCTTTATCTGCCCTCTGAGATCAGGGAGAGCAGTGCTGTTCCAGACTGGGACAATGCTGGATTAGGAGGCGTCATGTACATATTGGGTGAGGGGGGGGGGGGAGAGAAACGGGTAGTGGGACCTTTTACCCTAATGTAGGGAATGCATTGAGGTAAAAATTACTTGCCCTGCACTTAAGATTTTTTTTTTTCTCCAGTGGCAGTGCTGCACATGTAAAGCTATGCATGTAGTGCAGTGTTTATTTCAGGTACTTGTATAGCGCCATTAATTTACGCAGTGCTTTACATATATATTGTACATTCACATCAGTCCCTAACCCTCAAGGGGTGTACAATCTAAGGTCCCTAATTTACATTCATACATACACATATTAGGGCCAATGTAGACCGGAACCAATTAACCTAACAGCATGTCTTTAGAGTGGGAGGAAACGGGAGTACCCGGAGGAAACCCGCACAGGGAGAACATGCAGACTCCAGGCAGGTGGTGCCGTGGTTGAGATTCAAACCCTAGTACTGCCAGGCGGAAGTGCTAACCACTTAGCTACTGTGCTGCTGAGTGTTGATGGGTTCCATTTGAAAAGCAATACTATGGCCATACTGCGCTGTTTGCTATTCAGAATAGTAAAATATTAAGCACTGCACAGGCTATTTGCACCTGCTAATCAACATACAGCCCCATAGCACTGAGTAATTGGCTTTTATGAATGAAACAAGGCTGTTGGGGCTTGTGCTAACTGCAAAGCTTTCTGTTCAGAACAGTAAAATCTCTGGTATGGGGCTGTGACCATCTGCTGGGGCTGTATTCACAAGCAGTTGCAGATCACACAGCCTGTTGTGATTTGTGGTTGAATGGCATCACTTGTCTCCAGAGTAGCCTGACCAGTGCAGTCACTTACAATTCATGTTCCTTGCTAGCAGTGTGGTTGGAAAATTAGTGGCATACTGTCTGACCATGCTGCTTAGTAATGGTGGGACAGATTTAACAGGACCAAATGCACTTGTTCTCTTGGGGAATTCAAGATAGTTTATCTAAGATGGTGCATGTTTTCAGGACTCAGTCAGTTTGACAGACTGGCATTGTAATGTCTCACAGCAAGGACACAGGAAACCATTTTTTTTCTTGTGTCCCATTCACACTGCAACACAGCCTATGGCTGCTAAAATGCAGATGTGTTACATTTACTGCAGCGCACCATGCCAAATTGTATGGCAGTGCATCACTGTTACATTACCATGAATGAAGCTTAGTGCACTTTACAAAGTTTGTACCAAAAAGAGCTGTGGTGCACTGAATTGGGCAACACACTGCCACTTACTGCAGCCAGGATCTGAGGCGCCAGAGCAGTAATGTGCTCTGGTAGTTCCGCTATTCTTGTATGATTTCACACTTGGGAAAAAATCTTCAGCAGCCCCAAGCCAGGAAGCCCCTGTGGTGGCAGGTAATTAACTAAAGGTCTGGACTGCTCTCAAGAGCAGAGCTCTACAATGCCTATTCTTGTTAGATCTCCCATTCAGTGTGAATGATGTACATGCAGTTCATGAATGGTCTCAATTTGCAGGCTATTGTCTATCACTGGAGTATAGCAGAGAGCCCATAGCAATTGTCACTGTTTTGCCAGTGCAGCAAGGCTTCCATTTTATGAAAAGGTCTGCAATAACTTACTGATTTTAGTATACCTATAATAGACCTGATAAGCCAGAGGTTTCTCTGTATCAATATGACCTGATCATTGTTTAAGTGGTAGAATATTTGGTAGTGTCAGTTAGGGATTATATATTCCCATGTATAAGGTAGGTCCAGCCACAGCTACCCATTTTGCATATGGGTTGATGCATCTTTGAAGTTGGTATGAGTAGGCCACAATGGCTATTGTAAATACAAGGAAGACTGTTTTTAGCCAGCAGTGACACAATGGTCTGGCTGAGAAATCTTGTGTACTTCAAATACATGGGTGGTGTACCCTACTGCCCCCAAAAGTGAATACTAGTTTTCTGGTGGGATTACAAATGCACTTTGTTTTTTTTTTAATGCCTGTACTCTTGCCCTTTTCAATTTGACTGTGCTGTAAAAGTTTTTGTTTTAAGGAAAGCACTGCACACTGTTCTAAAAACTGCAAAAGCTTTTCAGTCCACTGACAGACAAAACTTCCTTTCCCCTTAGGGCTCATCACACCTTGCAGGGCTCTAAGGCAGCCCCGTTCATTTTGAATTGTTTGGCAACACATTAAATTTCAAGTGTTGCCATGAGTGAAGATTGTTCCTGAGAGATCTTTGTATTTGCTGCTTCCTAGTTTCTGTACTATGGAAATGTCTGAGATTAATGCATGATGCTTCTGTGCTGGTGATGTATGATTCTGCTAATACACCACATGTATGCCAAAACATTTGACAGGGAACTGTAAGATCTTCACTGGTTTGTCTGCTGAGATTCACCTTCAACTTGTCTGTGGTAATCAAAAATTTAGTTTAGTGGATATCTTCAAATGGGGACACTTGTTCTGACAGTTGAGGTAGATTCCTTCACACCATATTTTTTTTCATGCATCTCTGGGACGAAGTTAATGTAGTTCTCCATGAAGGGGCACAATTTGACTGACGGGGTTCTTAACCCCTCCCTGATTTTTCCAAAGCTAAAAACTGCCTTTATATACAATGGTGATTGGACAGCTGTCACCTTAATCCATGTAGGTATAAATTCTGACATGAAGTAGTTGGAATTGGTGATACTCCAGTTGATGCCATGACCTGTGGGGTCGGTAAAAAGTAAACCTTAATGTGTACAGTATAAACTTGTTTGCTGTGTGGCTAACGTCTGTAAAAATGAGCTCATGGTGAATGAGCCTTGATTTTTAAAAGTATAAATCTTTGTTTTTCTAGACCCTGCGCATTACTACAAGAAAAACCCCTTGTGGTGAGGGTTCGAAGACATGGGATAGATTCCAGATGAGGATCCACAAGCGCCTGATTGATCTACACAGTCCTTCTGAGATTGTGAAGCAGATTACTTCCATCAGCATCGAACCTGGTGTAGAAGTTGAAGTGACCATTGCTGATGCATAAATGCCACCTTTTGAATAAAAGTTACCACCGTATTCCGTTTCTTGAACTTATTTGAAATATTGAACAAAAAAATCTCCAGCCAAAAAATATTGATCCATAAATGTTCAAGAACTGAAAACCGCAATCAGGGTGGATTTGATTTAAATCGCTAGTGAAAAGGCTTGATTTAAATTCTTACTTTTAAAGAGCAACTGTCATCTCTGTCCTGCAGCAGCTCCTCTGACCTGCTGTTGACTCACTGACAGTCCCATTCACTTTAATGGGACTGCTAGTGATGCGGCAGTGACAAGGAGAGGGACATGGCAGCAGGTGAGTGGATTCCTGCTAACAGGCACTGCCATGATGGATCTAAAATACAGGCGCTCTTTAAATGCAAGGAATCTGACTCATTCTTGCTGTTGGAATCTTTAATTGCAAACCAAATTATGGTTTTGAGAATGAGCTGTCGGGTTAGTAAAACAGCGATATCAGAACTGATTTTACCTTAACACATAGTTGGAGAACTATTTAAATTCCTTTTATTTAAAGTTTTTTTTTTTTTCTCATTGTTACTGTGAAATTGTTTGACTGCATCAATGCAGTGCATGTGATCTCAGCTTAGAGCTTGGTTTCATTGAGTTTACCAAAAATGTAAATATTGCAGAATATACAGCCTCATGCTACATAAGCTCCGTTTCATGTAATAAATTAAGTTGCTCTATCTTAACTAGAAAACTAGCTTTAGATAGATTTTTACTACAAAAGCCTTTAATTAAAATTTGATAAAGTCCAATTTTTTGTTTATCCACCCTGTCAGCAGCTAGGTTTGAAGGTCTAGTTGATTGTTATTGGTCAAAGTGAATTGGTGGGGTTCACTAGTCCTGCTCTCAGTGTGATTTCACAATTAGGCTGAATCAACACAACAGAGCTGCCATGGTGCTTTACTGCTGCAGCAGGAGGCAGTTGTGGTGTGCAATTCAGCTTTTTTTTTTTTTGTACAAAACATGCACTTCACAGCAATGTACATCAGGCTGTTGCAGTGTACATCAGACACATAGTAAACAATTGTCTCTGGTGTCCCTATGGTGACATGGTTTACCATGCAGTAAAACATCTGTCACTGCCTATTATGTGAATTTACCCCAAGATGAAGTAGCACATTGCATTGAGATAAAATGGTTAAGAATCCAATAGTGTAGAAAACAGCTGTCTGAAGGAGGGCTCTGAACAAGCCTTTAATCCATGGGTGTCAACTTGTGGCCCTCCAGCTGTTGCCAAACTAAAAGTCCCATGAGGCATTGCAAGAATAACCGTTACAAGCATGACTCCCAATGGCAGACATGCTGGGACATCTAGTTTTAAAACAGCTGGAGGGCCACCAGTTTGACACCCTTGCTTTAACCCATATTTATTTTGACAATTTCATCCAGGTTCAGGGTGCTACTTGAAGCACTGAAGGGGGGCACTGGGCACCCTTAAAACATTGTTTACTACTGTGACTTGTGCAATTTAAAAATTCTGCTTACCAAATTTGCTGTTAGACTTTAGCCTTACTACAGTGACCTCTACTGTGTGCCTTTAGAGCTGCCTTCACTACATGCCTGAAAATGGTTTACCTAGAATCCAACTTTTCACCAACACTTCAGTCTGAAACTATTTTTTGACAAATTGGAAAGATCTAAAATCTCAGTTTTACTGCTGTGTTCATCACTGAATATGGAATTGAGATGAGTTCTAGGCTTTCATTATGATTAAAAATCAATCAAAACACTAGGTTTTCCTTTCTCCACTAAGCTGCACATGTTTATGGGGAGATTGGTTTTAAAGTGAAACTAAAGTTCTGCTGTCACAAACTGGGCAGGTAGGCTCTGTATTAATGAAGAGATGTGCAATACAATACACCTGCCGGCTTGCTGTCTTCTCTGGCATGTAAACTGAGCTTACCATGTGCAGCTTACATTGCTGGCACAGTCCCAGTGTGGCTGCATGCACAGGTGTGATGGCCAATGACCTCCACCCAGCAGACAGTAGTAAGGCAGTCTATTCTGTTACTCTTGCTATGAAATAAGGCCATACAACTGAGTGAATAAAACACAAAGTATTATAGTGGTGCTAAATGAATAGTGATAAAGTGAGTACCACACAATAAAATGTGCATCAATGAAATATCAGTGCATTACTGTGAACACAAAATTATATCTTTAATTTAAATCTTTTATTTTCAAATCATATTAAATGTACAAAAGCTAATAAAACAGTATCCATTACACATTTCTGTCAACACTCCCCAGAAAAGAACCCTTAATCTTGGTGACCTTTTACCCCTTTCCTTACCTATTCCCCCCACCCTTTATGCATTTTTAACTTAATTCTAGAAATCCTGAACCTTTGCTATTACTGGTATTATACTGTACTATATTTATCCCCTTTTCCTTTCACATATTCTAGGTACACCTCAATTTTAAACTGTACCCACTTTTCCCAACTTATACAAAATACCTCAATTTTATCTTCCACCATATGGTAAAGTTCCTCCATTCTATATATCTTCTCCACTCATTCTAACCAATCCTTTATTTTCAGTGCTTGTTTCTTCCAAAACTTGGGTATCAGTTCCTTTGCTGCATTTAAATCCAGTTTTGTTTTTTTTTTAAAATATTTTTAACCAAAAACTCTTAACAAAAAGAAGGCAAGTCTCAGGGTCCTTAGGAATATTTACCTCTGTTATTTCCTGAATTATATTCACTATGCCCTCCCAGTATTCTTGAATTTTGTGACACTCCCACCATAAGTGTCATTGTACCTCTCTCCACCAACATAAAGGTGAGTTGTCTCCACTTATTCTATGAGCTACATTCAGTGTAATAATACCATCTTATTAAACACTTATAATTCATTTACATTCCTGTGAATTTATATAGTTTCATTTCCCTCATCAATTAATTATATATAATCAAAGTCCACAGAAATTGTTGTGCCTTCTTTGGAATCCACCATGTGCTGTCTAATAACCAGGTGCCTCAGTGTCCCCTACACAGATGTGCACTCATCAATAGTTGTTGCCTCCCACCTTAGTGGTTGGCAAAACAGGCTTCAAAGAATAATTTTTCAAATATAAGCGGATTCTAACCAATGGGGTACAATCATTCTGGAGCTATAATTGTCCTAAAACTGGCTGCTAAAACAATGAATCACCTAGGAAAGGAAATGTCAGTTGTACATATCAGTCAGTAGTAACCCAGAGCAAGCTATGAGTATTACATATTTGAAAATGGATGCTTGACTTAATGCTAAACAAATGTGCATCTGATCTACACTGGGAACTCTAGGCAATGCAAACCTGTTGAAAATGAGAACTGCCCCTAAAATCTGTTCTGTAAAATAACTTCTACTATCCATGCTAGCAATCACTGCTGCATCAGGAACAATGAAATCTGTGGGGGCCAAGATTTCAACTCATATTTTTTTGTTGGTAAGCAGATTTCTCTGTATTAGCTGATTGCTGTCAAAGGCAGCAGCAAACTGGTTTGAATTTTTACTGCTGTAGTGTGGCCTCCAGTTTTCTCATGACAATGGGGACTTCAGATCTGCTGCCTCCTGCCAGAATATACACAGTGTTCCAAATTATTATGCAAATGATATTTTTCTCATTTGCCTAAATAATTGATGTAAATAACAGTCAGTATAATTCTCATGTTATCAACTATTAAGAGTACAATTCAAATTTTATTGAACAAACCTAATAACATTATTTTTGTTTAAACATAAAACACTTACAATGCACTGTTCCAAAGTATTACGCACAGTAAGTTTCAAAACACTTTATAGGTTGTAAAGAACTGAAAATTGTCATTTGTTGTGTTTGCAGCATATTTACTGAAATCAAAAGCTATTTCAATTAAACTTTTAACAACATTTTAAATTTTAAACATTTTAACGGGTCACGTTACATTGTAACACAGGACCCCTTATTCGATAGCAGCTTCATAAGTCTTGCATCCATTGAACTTGTGAGTTTTTGGACAGTTTCTGCTTGAATTTGTTTGCAAGATGTCAGAATAGCCTCCCAGAGCTGCTGTTTGGATGTAAACTGCCTACCACCCTCATAGATCTTTTGCTTGAGGATGCTCCAAAGGTTCTTAATAGGATTGAGGTCAGGGGAGGATGGAGGCCACACCATGACTGTTTCTCCTTTTATCCCCATAACAGCCATTGATGCAGAGGTATTCTTTGCAGCATGAGATGGTGCATTGTCATGCATGAAGATGATTTTATTACAGAAAGCATAGTTCTTCCTTCTGTACCAGGGAAGAAAGTGGTCAGTCATAAACTCCACATACTTTGCAGAGGTCATCTTTACACCTTCGGGGGCTCTAAAGGGGCCGACCAGCTCTGTTCCCATGATTCCGGCCCAAAACATGACTCCACCACCGCCTTGCTGACGTTGCAGCCTTGTTGGAACAGGGTGGCCCGTCCACCAACCATCCACTACTCTATCCATCTGGGCCATCCAGGGTTGCACAACACTGATCAGTGAACAGGACTGTTTGAAAATTAGTCTTCATGTATTTTTCTGCCCAATGCAGCCATTTCTGCTTGTGAGCATTGGTTATTGGTGGCCGAATAGAAGGTTTATGCACAGTTGCAAGACTGAAGGACTCTACACCTTGATGTCTGTGGGACTCCAGAGGCACCAGCAGCTTCAAATATCTGTTTGCTGCTATGTAATGGTATTTTAGCAGCTGCTCTCTTGATCCAATGCATGGATCTGGCAGAAATCTTCCTCAATGTGCCTTTATCTGCACGAACCAGTCTGTGCTCTGAATCAGCCACAAATCTCTTAATAGTGCGATGATCACGCTTACGTTTTTGTGAAATATCTAATGTTTTCATACCTCGTCCAAGGCATTGAACTATTTCACTCTTTTTGGTAGCAGAGAGATCATTTTTCTTCCCCATATTGCTTGAAAATGGTGCTCTGCTTAATAATGTGGAACACCCTCCTTTAGTAGTTTTTCCTT